GCGCGAGGGGGAGAGAGAGAGAGCACGCGCGAGGGGGAGAGAGAGTGCGAGACAGAGCCCGAGTGATAGAGAGCACAAGCGTGTGTGTGTGTGTGTGTGTGTGTGTGAGAGAGAGAGAGAGAGAGAGTTTGTGCGAGTGAGTGAGGAGGAATAAATAGAGAGGGGAGGAGGGAGGGAATGACAAAGAGAGTGAAAAAGAGAATGACAGAGCAAGGAAACAGGATAGATCAAATTGATTAGATACAATGAGTGGAAGAAGGATACTCACGCACACAAAGCCGCCATGCCCCATCTCATGGCAGCAAAGACAGACAGAGAATCTGAGATAGATGAATCTGTCACTGACTTGTTTGTTGGAATGTGTGTGGACATTGAGCTATCCCTATTCAGGGCGATGGGGGCTGAACGGGGAGAGAAGTGGCTCTTACAGCACTGGGAAGAAGCTACAGCCTTTCCTACATTTGCTGCTATTCTTCACTCTCAGTGTCAGGATAACTGCTCCAGTTGACCCACACTTAAATCCTCCAGTCTTTCAAGTGATGGAGCACCAGACCTCTCACAATAAATTTAACAAAGGAAAATCATTTCAATCCAACAGCAAATCCATAGATGCTGAGCACTGACCAGACTGGTACAGGAATTCGAAGACTGAGGGTGGGAGCTATATCCAATTCACCAGCAGCGCAGAGTTTACAAAACAGAAAGCAAATCAAGAGGTTCAAAGTGTTTAAACTTGATGGAAGTGGCAGGATGTGAATCTACTGCCTTGTATACAAAGTGGGTGTTGGACACAGACCTGGTCGGTGGGTCCTGGGCACAGCTGCTGTTGTGGGCGATGTCCTGACGGTACTTGCTGTCTCTCTCAGCCCCGGAGCTTCCCAAGGAATGGAAAGAAAATCAGAACATTATAATTCTTATCTGCATCCTCCCTGGATTCCATCTTGACCCATCTCAAAAATCCGCTTTCTTCACACATTCCCTCGACACAGCCTCCACCCCCAGCACTACCATCCCACACTCACCCACACCCACACCTTCCCAAACACTCCCTCTTCACCCACACCCCTCCACCTTTGATCCCTTTGTGACCCTGAACTTACCCTGTGTGGGCTGAACAAATGGTGCTGAGGTGCTGGTCAGTGATGCTCGATCCACATTGGTGATCCCATAGTCCCTCTCCCCTGGTCCCCGGTTACTGAAGCGGAGATCTGACCGGATGTAATGATATCCAGAACCCGCAGGGCAAATCTCCCGAAATCCCTCTTAAGAGAGAAGCTGAAATTTAGTATCTTAAAACATCGAGAATCTGTTCAAAAGCCAAGTATGAATATGGCAAACTGCAATGATCTTCAATTGCAGCACTGGCACTGGCTACGCACTGGACTCTGGATCTGGCAATGGCTATGCACTTATTTCAGCCAAACAGCACCAACTATGAGTTCAAACATCAGCAGGGCCAAAGTGTGAGATTGGAATCACTATATTTAGTAATTGTGGGCATAATGTGTCATGGTGATAGGTCAGAAACCCTGAAGCACTTAGAGATTGACTGAATTTAATTATAATGTGTTTTTCTGAACAAAAATGACAGTCAAAAGGTGACTGGGGATATAAATTCAGTAGCTGTCTGGAGAGAGGAAGAGAGAGAGCGGGAGAGCAGGGGAGTATGAGAGGGACACACAGCCTGGAATGTCACACCTGCTAAAGTATCAAGGATGCTTCAAAGGGATAGATTTAAAAGGGTGAAAGATACGACAAACTAAACTGCAATCTCCCGGGAGTTGCTGGAGACTGTGAACATGATGAGAAAAAAAGACAGCAGATTGTTGTGTCCCTTCCCCTTTTATGAATACACAAAACCAGGGATTAAAAGCCAGTCAAACCCTGGTCTGAGTGTGCCAGTAGGCAATAATGTGCTAGTGGGCTTGGGTATTTGTGCTCGGGCACTTACCAACACAGCATGAACACTAGTCTAGGTTTGAAAGCCCGTGTGTTGTGCAGGTCACAGTGGAAGTGCAGGTCAGCTGTTGATCTAAATGCTAGAAGCCAGTTAGTCAGTCACAGGAAATGGTAAATGGACTTCGACTAATCTGCAAAGCCAATAATCTAATTGCTTGAATGTGCAATGTTCCCTGTTTCATGAATGACTCGGAGATTGAACCATTTATCTTCTAACATGTATTTTTTGTTGGATTTCATTCTCATTTCTAGCTGGTGTTTATTTCACTAAAATATTATTCCTTTTTGCGTTTAGTAAGTAACAAAATTACTCTTTTGTTAACTCAAGAAAGTGCAGTTTAAATATAGCTCCTTTTAAAACATTAATTCATCTGATCTGTGGTCTGGAAAGAGAATTCTCTTTAAATGAACCTGTTGTGACCAACGGAGTGTAGCAGGAGAATAAAGGTGGAGAGAAATTTCATCCCTCCTCACTCATGAACTTAATAATTCGGGGTATTCTGTTCGGAACCAGAACAAATTCGGGTACTTGCCCTTAATCTACATCACCAGAGGCATGAAGCTGCTTGTGACAAAAAACGGCATTAATACCCTGCTTCTTGGGGAATCTTCAAAACACTCCAGTCCTACACATAACTCCAGGCCCACACTGGGGTTGTGACCCTGAATTCCAGACGCTCCACTGAACAAACCATTGGCAGAATTTGGTCTCCTTTGGGGTTCACATCCCCAAAACTAAGCCAAGGCTTTGGCTCTGGAACAGACAGATTGTTAGCAGGTAGAGGGAGGGAGACTCACTAATGCCACATCACACCAATCCAAGCAGCTGTGATAGTAACCACCTCCATTCAGTGTCCTTCTCCTGCCAATTCTCTCCTGCATTTCTAATTTGGAAGAAACTTGGGTTCTGAAACTGACACTGCAACCTCTCAGATTTTTTTCTTTGTCTCCAGCTGTTTCCTCTGGCTTACTGCAGAAACTGAGGAAATTTATATCCCAGACAGGGCTCGCATCACTGTACAGAACAGTGTCACAGAATTATTACAACACAGAAGGAGGTCAGTTGGTCTATTGTGCCTGTACTATCTCCATGGCTCAGTACAAATCTCCTGCCTTTTCCCTATTTCCCTGCACACCACTTCTGCCCAAATAGTTATCTAATGTAAACCTCCTCCATTCTGGTTTCTTTTATGAGCAGAAGCAACTTTTTCCTGTCTACTCTACTCATGATTTTGAAAACCTTGAACAAATCCTCTCTCAGCCTTCACCTCTCCAAGGGGTATAGTCCCAATCTCTTCAATTTATCCTCACAACTGAAGTTTCGCATTGCAGAAATCATTCTTGTAAATCACTTCTGCACTCTTTCCAATATATTTGCACCTGTCCTATACACTTTATTTATCTTTCCCATTATCATTCACCCCAACAGCCCCAGCCCTTCATCTCATGTGCCCAAAGATTAAGAGAGAAGCTGAAATTTATTCACACAACAGAAACTTGCTACCCTGGCACCTGTGACTCAAGGGATGGCCAATGACCCTGCTTCCTCCCTCACTCCTTCACCTACTCCCTTCACAATCACCATGCTGTCTCTTTTATCCTCTCCTATACCTTCTCTCAGATACCCTCCTCCTCTTTCATTCCATTTATCTCTTTCACCTCCTTTCTTTTCATTTTTCCTATAATCAGTCCCTCTTGCCCTACTCTTCCCCTTGCTTTCTCACACTCTTTCCATCTATCCCCTGCTTACTCTCCCCTTTTCCTGTCTGATTTCCCTCCAAACCCGACGTCTCCCTGCAGTCAGAGGTTAGTAAGGTGTTGGCCTGTAGGTGGCCTGCTGATTACCTGTGAGTGGGGATGGGCACTTCTGGCACTCCGTTCCCCAAGCTTTCCCCACTCGGCTGCAGCAGCAGATCTGCTTCGTGATGTTCTGTCTCACAGGCAGGGAACAGGATCCACTCCTCCAAATCCGATAACAAGGTCCTTTGGTTAATGAGATCACCTGCTGCGCTGAAACATTGAAACCGCAGCAAGTTACTCAGTAAAAACACAGGAGGTCCTTATCCTCTCACCTTAAAACTTATGCCCTCTAGTTTTGGACTCCCCCACCCAGGGGAAAAGATTTACCCTATTCATGCCCCTCATGGTTTTATAAATCTCTTATAAGGCCACTCAGCCACCGAAGCTCCAGCGAAAATAGCCCCAGCCTGTTCAGCTGCTCCCTACAGCTCAAACCCTCCAACTCTGGCAACACCCTTGTAAATCGTTTCTGAACCCTTTCAAGTTTCACAACATCCTTCCTGTAGCAGGGAGGCCAGAAATGCATGCAGTATTTCAAAAATGGCCTAACCAATGTCTGTACAGCCGCACCGTTCTCCCTTCTAGTACTTACCTCATCAGGAATAAAAACCCTGCAAAAAATGTAAAAACCTAACCTTAACCCCATCTCTGCATCTATAGCAGATGGTGAGGGCGGAACAGATCAACGTTAACAGTGGTGGCCATTTATAAAGAAATAACTCCCAGACTCCAGATCTCACATCATGGTGGCAGTGTAGGTTAAACAGTGGGAACTTCTAGTAAAAAGCTCCAAGATACCATTTTCAGATCCTCCAGAACCCCAATGAATCCACGCGTTGGCTGTCTTACACTCAAGGATTCAGAAGACTAACAGCAACAAACTTTTGTGTGTGAATATTTACAAATTAAATAGCCAGGAGTCAATTTCCCTCTTTTCTACTACACGTGCTCACCCTATGAAGAGAAAAATCCATGTATCGCTTTTGTTAAAAAGAATATCAGTCTGGTTTCTGCAGACTAAAGAAGTAAAAGCAGCAGTCAAAGTCTCGGGGTAGTAGGAACTGCCGATGCTGGAGAATCTGAGATAACCAGGTGTGGAGCTGGATGAACACAGCAGGCCAAGCAGCATCATAGGAGCAGAGAGGCTGACGTTTCGGGCCTAGACCCTTCATCAGAAATGGGGGAGAGGAAGGGGGTTCTGAAATAAATAGGGAGAGACGGGGAGACGGATAGAAGATGGATAGAGGAGAAGAAAGGTGGAGAGGAGACAGACAGGTCAAAGAGGCGGGGATGGAGCCAGTAAAGGTGAGTGTAGGTGGGGAGTTAGGGAGGAGATAGGTTAGTCCAGGGAGGACGGACAGGTCGAGGGGGCGGGATGAAGCTAGTAGGTAGAAGATGGGGGTGGGGCTTGAGGTGGGAGGCGGAGATAGGTAGGAGGAAGGACAGGTTAGGGAGGCGGGGACAAGCTGGGCTGGTTTTGGGATATGGTTGGGGGAGGGGAGATTTTGAAGCTTGTGAAGTCCACATTGATACCATTGGGCTGCAGGGTTCCCAAGCGGAATATGAGTTGCTGTGGCATCGTTTTGGCACTGCAGGAGGCCCAGGATGGACATGTCATCTGAGGAATGGGAGGGGGATTTGAAATGGTTCGCGACTGGGAGGTGCAGTTGTTTAGTGCGAACTGAGCATACGTGTTCCGCAAAGCGATCCCCAAGCCTCCGCTTGGTTTCCCCGATGTAGAGGAGGCCACAACGGGAACAGCGGATGCAGTATACCACATTAGCAGATGTGCAGGTGAACATCTGCTTGATGTGGAAAGTCTTCTTGGGGCCTGGGATGGGGGTAAGGGGGAAGGTGTAGGGGCAGGTGTCACACTTCCTGCGGTTGCAGGGAAAAGTGCCGGGGGTGGTGGGGCTGGAAGGGAGTGTGGAGCAGATAAGGGAGTCACGGAGAGAGTGGTCCCTCCGGAAAGCAGATAAGGGTGGGGAGGGAAAAATGTCTTTGGTGGTGGGGTCGGATTGCAGATGGCGGAAGTGTCGGAGGATGATGCGTTGGATCCGGAGGTTGGTGGGGTGGTACGTGAGGACGAGGGGGATTCTGTTTTGGTTGTTATTGCGGGGACGGGGTGTGAGGGATGAGTTGCAGGAAATGCGGGAGACACGGTCGAGGGCGTTCTCGACCACTGAGGGGAGGAAGTTGCGGTCCTCGAAAAACGAGGACATCTGAAATGTTCGGGAGTGGAATGCCTCATCCTGGGAGCAGATGCGGCGGAGGCAAAGGTATTGGGAATAGGGGATGGCATTTTTGCAGGAAGGTGGGTGGGAGGAGGTGTATTCTAGGTAGCTGTGGGAGTCGGTGGGCTTGAAATGGATATCGGTTTCCAGGTCGTTGCCAGAGATGGAAACAGAGAGGTCCAGGAAGGAGAGAGAGGTATCAGAGATGGTCCAGGTGAATTCCGCTTCATGTTCATATTCCGCTTGGGAACCCTGGAGCCCAATGGTATAAATGTGGACTTTACAAGCTTCAAAATCTCCCCTCCCGCAACCGCATCCCAAAACCAGCCCAGCTTGTCCCCGCCTCCCTAAACTGTACTTCCTCCCACCTCAAGCCCCACCCCCATCTCCTACCTACTAACCTCATCCCGCCCCCTTGACCTGTCCGTCCTCCCTGGACTGACCTATCCCCTCCTTAACTCCCCACCTACACTCACCTTTACTGGCTCCATTCTCACCTCTTTGACCTGTCCGTCTCCTCTCCCCCTATTTATTTCAGAACCCCTTCCCCTCCCCCATTTCTGAAGAAGGGCTAGGCCCGAAACGTCAGCTTTCCTGCTCCTCTGATGTTGCTTGGCCTGCTGTGTTCATCCAGTCAAAGTCTCCGGTTAGGATTAGGGATAGAGAGAGGGTGAGGCAGAGACCACTGCATTGTTTAAAGCAAAGTTAGATTTATATTTGAAACTGACAGAGGTACAGATTATGGAGAGTGAGAGGCACAGGATTTAGTTTGGCATTGATACAGGGTTGAGAGGAGAGCATGGGACATTGGAATGAGAGAATGTCAATTTGGGATTAGTTTGCAGATTAGTACAAGGCTATGGGGATGGAGCAGGGCAGTAGGATTAGGTTGGGGATTAGTACAGGGCTATGGGGAGGGAGGGGGCAGTGGGATTACTTTGCAGACTAGTAAAGGGCAATGGGACAGTGCAGGGCAGTGGAATTAGTTTGCAGATTAGTACATAACTATGTAGAGGGAGTGGGGCAGTGGGATTCAGTTGGGGATTAGTACAGAGCTATAGGGAGAGAAGGGGAATGTGGGATTATTTTGGGGATTAGTTCAGGGCAATGGGGAGGGAGCGGGGCAGTGGGATTAGGTTAGGGATGAGTACAGGGTTAGGGGAAGGGAACCAGCAGTAGGATTAGTTTGCCGATTAGTATAAAGCTATGGGGAGAGCACGGGGCAATCAGATTAGCTTGCTGATTAGAACAAGCCTATCCAGAAGGAGCAAGGCAGTGGGATTAGGTTGCAGATTAATACAGGGCCATGGAAGGGAGCAGGACAGTCAGATTAGGTTGGGATTAGTACAGGGCTATGAAGAGGTACTGGGTCAGTGTAAGCAATGGCCTAGTGGTATTATTGCTAGACTATTAAACCAGAAATCCAGCTAATGTTCTGGGGACCCAGGTTCGAATCCCACCATGGTAGATGGTAGAATTTGAATTCAATAATTTTTTTAAAAATCTAGACTTAAGAGTCTACTGATCACCATGAAATCATTGTCGATTGTCAGAAAAACCCATCTGGTTAACTAATGTCCGTCAGGGAAGGAAATCTGCCACCCTGATCTGGTCTGGCCTATTCGTGACTCCAGCTCCACAGCAATGTGGTTGACTCTCAATTGACCTCTGAAATGGTCTAGCAAGCCATTCAGTTGTACCAGTCACTACAAAGTCTCAAAGAAATGAAACCGGATGGATCACCTGGCATTGACCTAGGCACCGGAAAAGACAGAAACAGCCCTGTCGACCCTGCAAAGTCCTCCTCACTAACATCTGGGGGCTAGTGCCAACATTGGGAGAGCTGTCTCACAGACTATTTAAGCAACAGCCTGATACAGCCATACTGACAGAATCATACCTTACAGACAATGTCCCAGGCACCACCATCACCGTCCCTGGATATGTCCTGTTCCACCGCAGGACAGACCCAGCAGAGGTGGGGGGGGCGGCACAGTGGGATACAGTCGGACGGTGTTGCCCTGGGAGTCCTCAACATTGACTCCAGACTCCATGGAGTCTCATGGCTTCAGGTTAAACATGGGCAAGGAAACCTCCTGCTGATTACCACATACCGTCCTCCCTCAGCTGATGAATCAGCACTCCTCAATGTTGAAAAACACTTGGAGGAAGCCCTGAGGAATGGCAAGGGGACAAAATGTACTCTAGGTGGTGGATTTCAATGTCCACCACCAAGAGTGGCTCGGCAGCAGTACTACTGATCGAGCTGGTCGGGTCCTAAAGGACATAGCTGCTAGACTGGGTCTGTGGCAGGTGGTGAGGGAACCAACAAGAGAGAAAAACATACTTGACCTCATTCTTACCAATCTACCAGCTGCAGATGCATCTGTCCATGACAGTATCGGTAAGAGTGACCATCGCACAGTCCTTGTGGAGACAAAGTCCCGCCTTCACATTGAGAATAATTTCCATTCTGTTGTGTGGCATTATCACTGTGCTAAATGGGTTAGACTTTGAACAGCTCTAACAACTTAAGACTGGCATCCATGAGGCACTGTGGGCCATCAACAGCAGCAGAATTGTACTCCAGCACAGCCATGGCCCGGCATATCCCCCACGCAAACATTACCAGCAAGCTAGGGAATAATTCCTGGTTCAATGGAGAGTGCAGGAGGGCATGTCAGGAGCAGCACCAGGCATACCTGACAATGAGATATGAACCTGGTGAAGCCACCAAACAGGAGTACTTGCATACCAAACAGTGAAAGCAGCAAGTGATAGACAGAAAACAAAAACAAAGTTGCTGGAAAAGCTCAGCAGGTCTGACAGCATCTGTGAAGGAGAAAACAGAGTTAACGTTTCGGGTCCGGTGACCCTTCCTCAGAACTGAGTGATAGACAGAGCTAAGCGATCCCACAACCAATGGATAAGATATAAGCTCTGCAGTCCTGCCACATCCAGTCATGAATGGTGGTGGACAATTAAACAACTCACTGGAGAAGGAGGCTCCACAAATATCCCCATCCTCAATGATGGAAGAACCCAGCACATCAGAGCAAAATATAAGGCTGAAGCATTCGCAGCAATCTTCAGCCAGAAGCGCCAAGTAGATGATCCATCTCGGCCTCCTTCAGTGGTCCCTAGCGTTAGACTTGTAACGCTAGGGACTTGTAACTTACAATCTTGAGCCAATTCGATTCACTCCACGTGATATCGAGAAACGGTTGGAAACACTGGATACTGCAAAGGCTGCGGGCCCTGACAACATTCAGGCAATAATACTGAAGACTTGTGCTCCAGAACTCGCTGCTCCCCTAGCCAAGCTGTTCCAGTACAGTTACAACACTAGTATCTACCCAGCAATGTTGAAAATTGCCCAAGTATGTTGGTGGTTAGTACAGGGTTATGGGAGGGGGCAGGGCAGTGGGAATAGGTTGGGGATTAGTACAGGGCTATGGAGAGGATGTAGGGTAGTGGCATTAGTCCAGGGTTAACGGCGGAGGGGGGTGGGGCAATGGGATTAGGTTGGGGATTAGTACAGAGCTGTAGGATTACTTTGCAGATTATTACAGAGCTAAAGGAAAGGAATAGGGCTGTCAGATTCAGTTGGGGATTAGCAAAGGATTATGGGGAGGCAGCAGGGAAGTGGGAATAAATTGGAGATTAGCACACCACTATGAGGAGATCGCGGAGCAGTGGGATTAGTTTGGGAATTAGTACAGGTCTTTGGCAAGGGAGCAGGGCAGTGCGATTAGGTTGGGGATTAGTACAGGGCTATGCAGAGGGATTGGGGCAATGGGATTAGTTTGGGGATAAGTACAGGTCTATTGGTGGAGCGGGGGGGAGGTAGGATTAGTTTGCTGATTAGTACAGGGCTATCGGGAGGGAGGGGCAGTGTGATTAGGTTGGGGATTAGTACAGGGCTATGGGGAAACTGCGGGGAAGTAGGAATAGTTTGCAGATTAATACAGGGCATTGGGGAGTGACCGGGGCAGTGGGACTGAGTTGGAGATTAGGATACGGCTATGGGGAGGTCGCGGCACAGTGGGATTAGTGTGGGAACTGGTACAGAACTTTGGGGAGGCGTTGGGGCACTCTGGTTATTTTAGGAATTATTACAGGGCTATGGGGAGGGAGAGAGCAGTGGGATTAGGTTGGGGGATAGTACAGGGCTATGGGGAGGGAGGGGGCAGTGGGATTAGGTTGGG